ACCTACACACATGCATGGATGCACACACACACACATACGCACACAAACACTCGAGCACGCACACATACACACGCACATACATGTGCACACGCGTGCACACACACGCCTGCGAACACATAAAACATCCCAATTGTGTTCTGCTGAGAGTCTGCTCTTGTGTTGTGAGATTGCCAGCTGAACAAAAGGCAGCGAAACGAGGAGTGAGAGTGGTGGAAGGCAAAACGCTGCCACGCTGCTCGTGTCGCTCCATGAAACCACAGTAAGGAAACCACGCTAACGAAACAAGCCTTCTTTTTCTAAAAGCACACTCTGGAGTGTGAGTGAGTGGCGCTGGGCTGAGCATGCCGGCGCCCTCCTGAACCTCCTGGCCCGCTGGCACCCTGACCCACCTGGCCCCCCGGCCCCCTGGTACCCCAGCCTGGCAGCGGCCTGCTGGGACTCTGCTCGGGGGGTGGCGCGCCGGGTGGAGGCTGCGAGGAGCGGCTGGTGGACCGCGCTCCACGCGTCTGTGCTGCCACAGTTACCCTAGCAACAAGCGGTTTTCTGGGGTGCTTCTCCCTCCGATAGCCTTTTCCTGCCTTTCCTTGCTAGTGCTGACCGTGTAATGGGTGGGAAAACAACCAGAAACCCGTCTACGACTTTTCCCAGACCCACACCCAACTTTAGATGAATGTAGCAGCACATCTGGCCCCTAATACAAATCCACTGCTTTTTTATTCATTCTTGTTACTCCCTGCAGGTGTTTTTTGTGCTACGCCTGCATGTCCAGAGAAAAACACAGAGAAAGGATGGGTTTTTGATGAAGTCTTAAAATGATACTCCCCGTGTTGATAATAATGTGGATGTAAATAAATTGTTAAAACTGTTTGTGTTCAGGAGTAAAAGCGTTTGAATAATAAAAAAAAATAATCAGTTTACTGGAAAAACCCCTCTCTTTGAAACAGAACAGTACTTAACAACTGAAAATGGAAGGGCCGGAAAGGTAATTACAGAAATTGTTCTCATGTTTAGCAGCACCACCTGACTTCATCGCTGCAAAACTGACCCCTTCACTGTTTTCATAGCAACCGCTGCAAGAAGTTCAAATGAATGATCAGAACTGTGACATCAAGCGCGTGTTTGAATTTCCTGGAAGAGTGGGAAGCCGTGCTATTGAAGACAGAGCTGCCATACCCATTAGCTACTCTGATGTGCTGGCACTGGGGTGGCCAAAGCAGAAAGAGCATTCATTCTTGTAAGAAACAGCATTGCCATCAGAACTGACCTTAAAGGAGCCGATGGAAACCACCAATGGAAATGCTGAGCGTACTCTTATGATCACATAAGCATCCACAAGTTTTTTGTTTTTTTTTTAACCGTATCCTTCAGTGAACCTACATTTTTACTTTGACAGCATTTCCCTTAAGATTGACCTTTGATTCTCTGAAATCTAAATGTATAATTTCCTGTTAGATGGCAAAACACTGTGTAGACCACACCCACCCACCCACGGAAAGAAAAAAAAACTGCAAGCAGATCTCAGTAATGTATTCCAACTTTTGTTATGGTTGACAAGATTGATAGTCAGCTGCTGGGTATATTTGAAAGGGCACATCTAAGACGTCTTCTTACAGTAGGGATGTGGTAAATATAGGGCTATAATCACTAATGTCTGCAAAAAGCAGGTCAGTGTGGAGGAGCATCAACTGCATATTACGTTAAGACAGGTTAAGACTGATTTGTGCTGTCATCATAAAAGCGTTTTCCATGACTCTAAGTTCTACTACCCCGACTGCCTAAGTCGACTGCCTCTTGTAGTGGCTCACCTCTGAGGCAGGTGTTCTCTGCTTCCACACGCACCTCGTGAGGCTGAGGATTTCCCAGCATGCACACGGGGGGCAAAAATAGCTGACATGCCTGGGAAGAGTCAAACTTCCTCCTCGTGCCCTGACCCATCCCTCACTGTATCACCTCCCAGTCATTCCAAACACAGAGCCTCCGCCAGCCTCACATACTTTGGAGATGAGAGGCGTAGGTAGGACTGCTTGATGAAGAATCCCCGCGACTTTGATGTACGGCGAGCATTTTTATCTCCTCAAGCCGCCCTCGGCGGCCGGCCCCCTTTACATGGATATAAATCAGCACGTCCCCTTCAGTACTGTGAAGATTCCCTCCCCGCTGGAATGTAATACGGGGGGGGGGGTCTGGGAGCCGAGCTGTTTTGAAACGGTACCTCTCCTCAAAGTCATGGGGGTAAACTCACGGTATTGCAGGTGAGCGTGCTCAATGGATCCGACGCATCAGAGAGCTGAACTTAGCCTGAGGGATTCCGCTGCCACAGAGGAACAGCTCCGGGGGCCTGAGTCGGAATGCATCCTCGTGTAGAGGCATATGGAGCATGACTGCAAAGACAAAGGAGAAAGTCATCATGATGCAACGAGAAAAGGAAGGAAAAGAAAAAACACAGCTTTGTTTCTGGGGTCCTTGAGAGAAAGGATTCGTCAGGAACAAAAGCCCTTGAGAGAGTGGTGCCTACTTATAAAAAAGAGAACATTTGCACTATTTTCAACACATTAGAAAAGCTTTTTATTCATTAAAAATGTGGTATGCTTATCTGAGTGCTTTGTATGACATTGACCAGACCATTTCATTATGTGGACAGTATTCAAGGTTGGAGCCAGAATCAACCTAATTTATTTATCTTTGAGCAAGGAACTTACATTTTTTATATTTTACATTTTGGGGAGGTTTTTAAAACTTTTGTGTCATTTCTCTCAGTTTCTGTTGGATACATAATGTTAAATATTTATAGTCCACGAAAACTTGCTCAAACTTGGAAACAAAACACATTTCGGTTTAACCAAACCTGGAGTGTGTTTCTAAATCAATGTGGCTTAAGTCCTCAGGCCTGGAGATCACTGAGACCACCAGGGGATTCCTCTCACCTGGGATATTCTGGGACACCATGACATAGGCATTGATACAGACTATTTATTTACTATAACCAGATATTCAGCTCCTGCTTTCCATTCATCCTATGTATAGGAGGTTCAGATTGGTAATAGGTTGGTTCCACTGCCAACAGGGCACCAGGTAACAAGGCATTCCATTCTAGACCGCACCCTTTCAAGAGTCTTCACAATGTGCCAGGGAATCATAATATGTATAGCGTGCATAGCACACACAGCATTCAGCACCTTCAGTGTGAAACCTACAAGAGCTGAGTATCTGGTCATAATAAATAAAATATCAGTGGCGTCCATTCAAAGGGCTTAGACTGAAATGGGAGTGTGGGTGCAGGAACCACATTCTTTCTTTCGATTGCACCACTTGTGATCTTATTTTGCTTTGCTTTGCCTTATTCTTTGCAGAGTTCACTTTCACCCTGTGGATCCCGATCAAACACACTGCGCTCACATCAGTTTTATTGGTTGGCTTTTACTTGTGCTTGGTAGTTGAACGCTTCCCTCTAACATGAACAAAACCCAAAGCTGTGAATTGGTGTTTAATATGTAATATGTACGGTTAGCATGATTAATCAACATGTGGAGAGCCAGATAAAGTTTATATTATACCCCTTGCTAATGTAGCTGTATTCTGAAATATCTGAAGTATTTCCATTTTCCCTGCAGTTAAAGGACATATAAGCATTAATAACTTAACTCCAATACCTGAAATGGATGAGGAAAAAGGCCCATGGGTTTAATAAGTTAGATTTAGATCATGCATTATTTCATTATGCAATATTATGGGTGAATAAAACCATAATGATAAAAAAACTTGATGTAGCGAAGCAGAAGGAGGGCCAAGCAATTACTACAGCTTCATATATAGGAGTTCCTCCTACCTGAAAAACAGATCTCCTCCAAATCTCACAGTTGCATCAGACAAAAGCAGTGCCATCCAAACATTCATTCACCGCGCAGATACATGCTAACAGGGCCAATGAATTCTATGGGCTCTTGCTCCAGTTCAGGGTGGAACCATACAACCCGCACGGATTGCAGGGAGAGAGGCATGCCTCGCCTGAACATCACGCAGAACAGCATGCTGAATGAGCCACGAAGGCGTCTGTGTCAGAGATGGCATTTTTGCAGCCATAGGTCTTTTCCTGTTCGTGTTCCTCTGCCGGAGTCCCCCCACAGCAGGACCTGTGCACAGTCACAGAGTGTGCGCGCTGATACGAGCTCACAGCCCAGTCCAGACGTGCCAAGGTCAGTGGGGTGCACTGTGTGAGATTTGGCAATGAGGGGGCTGTTGTTGTCTCTTTTAACCATTTGATCACTTTCAATCTTATACTATATTCACTGTGTTCTTGTTGCTATTTTGGCACAGCAATAAACTAACTGGGGCAGATAAAAAAACAGGTTTAAAAGTGTGAAATTACAAGTAAATGTCCTTTTAGACGGAGAGACACTGGCCTTCATGAATTGCTGCGATGTGGACTTAATTGCATTAAAGATATATTCCTGCGCAATCTCTTGTCTGAAGTTAACAAGATGTTTCCTTTGTTAACTAAAATGAGCTTTCCTATCAGACACTGGTACCTCATGAGTGCCTCATGAGTGCATTTGCCCATAAAATACCTACTTTTTTGTTGAGCCCTGATGACAAATGTACATTTTCTATGCTAAAAGGGTCAGGGACTAATTTTCCTGGGTTCTTCCATTTTGCCCTAGCCCTGGGTTTTTTGATTTCCTCTGGAAAATTCACTGTTCTACATTCAGTGCTTTTTGACAGTTTTGATTGTAAAAATGCACTATAACAAAAAAATCTGTTTGACTGTTAAAAACCTAGTAGTGGGACTCCTAAGTTCCCTTGTTTGAGTCTGAGCTGTGTCATTTACCAACAATGACCAGGAGTCCCTAGTGGTTTAATTTTGCTGGGGGAGGGTTACATTACATTGCACTATTGGCATTTACATCAATTACAGATTTTTACAAAGTTATCCATTTATACAGCTGGGTAGTTATTGAGGAAATTGTGGGTTAAATACTGGGCCCAAGCATACAGCAGCACTTCCACAATGGGGATTTGGACTGGCTACCTTAGGGTTATGAGCCCTGCTCCTTAACCACTATGCTACACTGCTGTACCAGTGACAGGTTCCATTGGCTGAGGTTCCCCTGGTCACAGAAGTCTGAGCACCCTGTGCTTTGTCAGGCACCTGTTAGGCACTCAGAAGATGTTCAGCAATTGGTCTCCTGGTGCACTGTGGGATTTGTAGTGTGAAAATCAGTCATTGCTGGCACATGACTGCATTGGAGGTTTGCACTCACTACGCTCCCACACAAGTGCAGAAGGTTCTCCACAGTGAAAAAAGCCAAAGAAATAAAAGTCTGGTTCATGAAATACAGTAACTACAATGAACTGCTAATTGTTAGTTGTAATAAACAACTGAGTACACTAGACTGGTATTCTTTTTCCATAATTCATTTAATCTCCACAAATACAGTGGAGAGATTTTCATATTGTGTCTTTCAACAGTGGCCATAAAACATGTGAATGTGCATTTGCTTAAACAGCTCATTGAGATTCCACTAAAATGTACATTTCTGATCTAATCCTGAAGCTCAGCAGGACTAAATGGAAAAACAATTTCCATGTTTCCTGTTATTCACTTACTTCTCACTTGTCTGTGTTGCACTTTGTGTTCCCTCCTTTCCTCAACAGCAAGTCTGTGTGAGTAAAAACCGGGTGGTAGGTATTCAGCAGTAGAATTGACCTATAGGAAAAAAAATGCAAGTAGAGACCCGTAGTGAACCAAAAAGCTGAGAGCAATTATTAAAAAAAAACTAAAATCTGCTTTGGACTTTCAGCTTTGCAGATTAACAACTCTCCCTAAGCCTGAGAGCTTCTCTGTGAACACATGGCTGAGGGATGGGAGGACAGCAGAGAACAAATCCCCCACCCACACCTGTTTCCTATCAAACTTCTCCTCTCAGAAAGTTCGCGAAGCCCCGAACACCTTCGCTGCGCGTCTCCATCTCTGCGCCCTCGTCCTCTCCTCCTCCGTCCTGTGGGAGAGGGACACGCCCGCCCTCCTGACCTCTCGCGGTCGATCCCCCCGTGTCCTCCAGTTGTGTCGTCTCCTCTCCTTCTCGTTTTTTTTTAACCGCCCGATTCGTCACTCCCTTCTTCCTGTGACGCTTCACACGGCGCTTCTGTGAACGTAACATCACCACTTAGCAAAGCACTGGTGAGGAATTGTCGTTCTGTACAGGGAGATGTGCAGGGAGATAGAGAGCGATAATGTCGCACAAGATTGGCTGACGCCTGTTTCAGAGATGTGTCACCTCAAGCATCAGTTGTGCATGCCTTCAAGATTTGTAGGGGGAATTTAAGGAGAATATTTTACGCTAATCTACCATCATAGTGTTTTAGCATTCCGTTTCATATCAGTTTCACCCCTCAGTTCACTTTCTATGTCAAAATTGTCACGTTATATATTTGTAGGTTTTAGTTTTTTTTAATCAACACTCATAATGAACATCACAAAGTGAGAATTCTGGAGCAGGTTTCCAGTCGAGGTCACCCTCCATTGTTGAATAATGCCTTAAATATATATATATTTGAAATGAACATACACACACACACACAGGCCTGAGAGCGCTTGGAGATGTTTTTCCTCGCAGATGGCAGATGGAGGGAACTGAAGGGCATAGCAGAGGCGTAGGTAGTGTCTTCATATTTATTCATGAGCCTTTTCATTCGCACCTAAACATCCAAATGACATTCCTGATTCGCGCTGGTGTTGTCTGCGGTGGGTTCACTCAGTGCACCAGGGGTACTGTTAATCTGGGCGTTCGCGTGCTCTTCAAAAACTCGGAGAGCACACGGGGGTGTGAGAGGGGCTCACCCAGACCCTGTCCCCAGTCAGCTGACTCCCACACTGCTCTGAGAGATGGATCTGTCTGTGTCTATATTTTGCTGTACTCCTCTTTGAAGCAGGGGCCTCACCACCCAGTATATGCAGCACAATGTGCCAAAACAGGTGAAGGCAAGAGAAACAGCCGCAGCAATGATAATAGGAAGCCTACACAACTGAGTCGTGACTCCAGCATGAAACAGCTGTAGGAGTTGAGTCTGACTACCACTTGCTGCTGGTTATATAACAGGCTGGATAGCGGTGCGGGTCAGCCCACCCCTCCGCCACTCGTATGCTCAGCCTCTCTGTGGAGCTGCGCTCAGATGCAGTCAATCCAGAGAGTGCATTTCAATTTACCTCTCTGATCTCTTCGCCGTTTCTGCAGTGTGCGTGCGTGCGCACGCGTGTGTGTGTGTGCGTGTGCGTGTGTTTGTGTGTGTGTGTGTGTGTGTGTGTGTGCGTGTGCGCGTGTGTGTGTGTGCGCACGTGTGTGTGTCAGTAAAAGGAGTATAAGTGTGTGGGTGTGTTTAAAATAAAACAAATACGAAAGGCTTTTTTTAATTGAGATAGCAGGTGTTGTTTCAATATATAAAAATTCAAAGCACACATAAAAAAGACAACCCTTAATTTCTTCCCACTGTTAAAATATGTTTTATTCATTGTTAGACCTAATGTGTGCATGTCTTTCTGTTTTTTTTTCCTTGTGTTTTGCATTAATCATATACAGAAACTTTTTATTTTACTAATGTTTGTATATTAGGCTTACAGGACTTGTAGGTATACATCAGCTCTGCACATTAACAAATGAACAGACATGAACAAATTGAGCAGAGCTGTGCCTTTCTTTCCACTTGTACTTGGTGAGAGCCGCAAGAAGAAATGACAAGTTTATTACTGAAGAGGCTCTTTTCTCCTGAGAGGAGAGAACAATATGAGAGCCTGCTGTGTACCGAACCAGACAGCAAAGTTGTTGTATTACACAGGAAGTTGGCCTGCTTTCAGATCTGTGCCCTAACGCTCCCAGTATGGAACTGTCTTATTGCCTGGCCTGTCACTCAGCACTAGTTGTGGACACAGAGGATTGGATTGTCCTCATAATTTGACTGGTTTCAGGAAGTCCCAGTTGAATTGGACACAGAGTGTTGTACTTTATCGTTACTCACAAACCATTTTGTTTATTTCACCTTCATAAAAAGGAATTTATTTAGCAAGAAGTAAAAAAGTCACATTGACTTAAATTTAAGAAAATAGAGAAGAACAAATTCTGTCTGTGACTTTTTATTACTGTCTCTTCTATAAAAACATGTGATGCCCACAAATAAAAAAATCTGATGAAATGATATTTTTATATCTTTCATTGTACTCAACCATGATTTTGTTGCTGCACTTCCCTGGTCAGTTTTGTTGTCATTGTTTTGTTTTCCCCTGACTTTCCCCCGTTTGATTTTTCTCGCTGTGAATTAGACACTTTAACTGGCCACTGAACCACAGCAAACACATTAACATGGGAGATGGAGAGTCAGGTGACAGCCAGTGTCATTTATGGAAGGCTGATGAAAGGTCCAATCAGGCAGCTCCCTCCCACGCTTCTGGATCACGGCACTTCAAACCGCTAATGCACATCAACACCTAGCATAATTCCTCTGTCAGAGTGTTTATGTTCGACTGTGAGGGCCTAAAGACATGCTTGTGAAAATGACTGACAGAACAAGCAAAGGAACTGTGTGCAGTTTGATGGATATAACTGTTGGGCAGCAGTGTGGCAGAGCAGTAAGGAGCAGGGCCTGTGACCTGCATGTTGGATTCCCAGGTGGGGCAATGCTGCTGTACCATTGAGCAAAGTCCTTAACCTGAACTGGTTTACTGTAAATATCCAGCTGTATACATGGATAATATGTAAACTGTATAAGTCACACTGGCGGATACAGGCGTCAGTTAAGCACATAACTGAAGTTCCAAACAAAGATTTGGGAGGAGAATTGTTAGACAATCCCCACACATTCATCAAACCTCTCCCATTCTCAAGTATAAAAACCCACTCACCACTTCACTGTCATGTCAGCTGTTCCTGGCATCCCTCCTCCAAACCATCTCCCCCTTCTATTCCCCCCCATTTCTATTCCCATGTATGATGTCCAAAGTGGGAGGCGGGGTTGGGTGTCAAAAACCTTGGCTCCCGGCAAGGTGCGACCACTTTCACAGGAAAACCTAAATCAATCCTCAGTTTCAGTCAGAAAGTCATGAATAATGGGGACGCTATCAATATGGATGGATTTATAGAAAAACTGTTATTCAACAGTTGTGTCAGGGATGGTGAAAAAAATCCTTGTTTTTTAAGTTAAAAACAGGTTAAGCCACGGTTAGGAGGGTCAGAAGATTCCAAACCTGGAGGAAATCTTCCACAAGATGAACCCCCCCAAAAAAATATGTCTATCCCTCCACAGGGTCTTTGTAAAGTAATACTGTTGCCTGGCAACCAAAACTGCCCTCAGCTTTTCGAGTAGTTGAATTATCCCTGTTCTTATTCGTTGGTGTTAATATAATTCATGTTGAGGATGTCAGGTGAATAATAACATTCGCCTCCCCCAAGTGTGTTCCGCTAAGTCACACATTTCATGCCCTAATGACAATGAGCCCCCGAGCGACTGCGAGACAGGCTTTTGTGCTCATACAAGAGCATCCATGGAAGGTCAGCTGTCCTCTCTGTTTCTACTATCTTTTTTAAACACACATGAGCCTGCTCCACACTGTCTCTCAGCTTGCCACAGTGAGGCTACCAGGGAAATGAGAAGAAAATGGGAATTATGACAGGAGTTAATGTGGTTGTTTTGAGCCATTGTTAAGTTGCCGTGGGTATGGCAACACCAACACTGAGGACCGCATGTAAAAGCTGATTTAAGGTAATGTTGCCTTTTGTAGATCATCATCGGGAACTGGCCCAAATAAAAGAATAAGGCCCTTATTATCAGGTGACCCCACTTTTCAAAGAGCAGGGCAAAACTGCACTTCCTCAGACCAACAAATGGTAAGGCTTCAGAAATTGATTTTTTTTTTCCTGCACTCCTGCAAGAAGTGAGGTACCTGCAATGCCATGAGACTGCAGCCAATGGCTGTTTTCTCCACTACAAGTCCCATGATGGATTACAGGAAAGCCAATGTGACTGGAACATTTGCCATTTTTTCCTGATGACAGCTTAGCAACTCCCGGGCACCTGATAAAAGTA